ACAAGGCCGGTGGAAGAGTGTTGTCACATCTTCGATGGCGAGACCGGTTTTAGCCGTCAAGGCATCTGGTGTCTACTTGGAACCGTTGCCAGAGGTTGCAGAGATACTGAACCTCGAGGAAATGACGGCTGAGTCTTTCCTGACCAACTTCAAGGCTGGATAAATTGCTGCGATGGTACTCATGAGACCTGAGACCACTCGGGAGGAGCTGAACGCCTCCTCTGGCTTGGACGAGAACGTCCTGGAAGACCTGAACAAGCAGCGTCAGGCGCGCTTGGGTTCTGAGATCCTTAAGAACCCCAAGGATCCGGTGTATCCTTTGGTGACGGAGTATGCGGACGTGGTGAACAAACACCCACCGACCCAACTCCCACCGGATCGAGGCGTACGGCACGAGATTGATTTCGTGCCCGGCACAAAATATTGTGTCATGAGGCAATGACCTCTCCCGTCCGAGCAGTGCGAGGTCATTGATGGCCTCTTCGCCGCGAAAGCGAAGGCAGGCATAGTGCGGGAATCGAAATCCCCGCACTCGACGCCGCCTTTCTGCGCTCGGAAGCCGAACGGAAAGTGGCGTCTCGTTTACGCTTATAACAAGCTGAACAACGCAACGGTGTCGGCCCAAACACCAATCCCACGTAAGAATGTGTTGTTGAACAACATGGCCGGGAGCGTACTGTACAGTGCGCTGGATTTGGTAGACGGATACTACCAAATCCTGATGCGAGAGAGTGATATCCCGCTCACCGCGGTAAGAACTCCAAGCGGCATGCTTTGGTAGTGGCTCGTCATGCCGCAGGGCTTGTCTAACGCCCCGGCGACGTTCAATCGCCTGGCGACGCAACTGTTCTGCCCTTTGTGTACCTTCGTACAGACGTATTTCGACGACATATTCGTCCATAGCCGTGCCGAAGGAGGCAAGACGGCCATGGAGGTGCATCTAAGACAACTTCGTCGGGGTTGGACGTAATGCGAGCGAACAAGCTCTACGCCAACATCGACAAGTGCGTTTTCGCGTCACCAGAGATTAAAGTTATCGGTTGCTTCGTAAGCAGCGTGGGCGTTCGGGCTGACCCAGACAAGGTCAAGGCCATAGCAGCATGGCCGACGCCCCGATCCGAGAAGGATCTTTGAAAGTGGTTGGGCTTGGCCAACTACCTTCACAAGTACAGCGCAGGGTACGCGGGCTTCGCTAAGCTCTTGTCGAGCCTCCCTTTAGAAGGACGTCGACTGGCGCTGGGAGCAAGGGC